ATCTCTGAATTATGTTCATTTGCTGCACATTTCAAAATATAATGCTAGCTTTTGTTATATCTCACATCGCACTCCATGTCCCACCGAGATGCCTATGTGCTCCAGGCTAGCTAACAGTTTTCTGCCCTCTAGGCCCTTTCTACTTGGGTGAAGCCAGGCTCCACCATCATCAGAAAATATTTTCATGTCATTTTTCTGTTACTCAAACATTCTGGAAGTTTCATCCCATCACTTCCACAAACCCTTTTGTACTCCATGGAGAATCACAGTGAAAGCATTTCTTTTATTCATATTTAACTATCCTACATGAAAATCCTTTTTCTCAAATAGAATTTATTTATTTATAATTATAATTATCCTCTTACTGGGCAAATCACTGGCAGTTTTTATGTAAATATTAGTCCAACTCTATCCAAAATTAAAAGTATTTGTTTTTATGATTTATTTGCTTAATTTGATATTGTCAGGCTTGGGGGAAAATCCAACTTTCTGACATTGCAAAATGACGCTGTCATCTACGAAAATCAAGCTCAAGAATGTGAAATCTATTTACAAAAAGAGGCTTTCAGAAAATCCTCAGTGTTGTATGTAAGGTTTCAATTTTGTGTTGGGCCAGATTTATACCTACCTCTGTTGTATGTGGCCTGTGGACTTCAGGTTGCATATACCGGCAAGTACTGTGAGAAAGGAACAGGACCTGCTTTGTTTAACACTGCATCCTTAGTGGCAATAATGCCTGACAAGAACAGATGCTCAGTAGATGCCTGTGTATAGATGCTGCAATTCACACCATGTTCCTTTAGATGTGAACCTGTACGTTCACGCTCCTTCATGTCATATGACATATATACTTCCCTGTCACAGACCAGATATATCTTCTCGGTGTGAATTAGCCAGTCAAATTGCCTAATTTATGGGTGACATTTTGTGTCTTTCATGTTAGCATTTTGGAAATCCAGCTCTTTTGGTCATCCATGCCAAGTATACAAGTCCTGAGTGGGAAGGGAAATAGGGGCTCCCTTGATCATTCAGCTGTTTCATTGCTGGCTCAGTGCTCAGCTGTGGAAGTGCTAAAAAAAGATTTGAGGAATTACTGAAATGCCCTTTCATTTCCTCACCCTGTGAGGCAGCCCAGCCATATTCACTGGACACTTTTACTATCATCTAATTAATCAGTTCAACAATAAAAAGCAATACTTGTAGAATACAGTGATTATAAAAACTTAATATAAAGTAATAAAAAACAGAAAAATTGGGTGTTTCCCAACAATTTCTCATCCCTAAAAATTTGTTGTGCTTAAAACTTTGAGAAGTGTTTCCATACTAACTTTTTAAATTCAACACATGCCCCCCCACACCATTACTATCAATTTTCTGTTTTATAAGAGAAGGACATTTTGATTATTGCTTCTGATATTTTGAAGAAAAGTAATAATAATAAAAATTGCAAACATTTACTGATACTTGATTAATGCTAGACATTTGCACTATGTTAATTAATCTTCTCTGAAGTCTTAGGACGCATCACATTATTAGCCTCATTTTATCACTAATTAAAATGTAGGTTAAGGAGTTATTTTTCCCTAGCTATAAGTGAGAGAATTGTGGTTTCATCTCTAATATCTGTGATCTCAAATCTTATGGCCTTAACGACCACAGGATATTTTAGTAGGCCTATGATTAAATAAATTTATACATAACAAGAAACAATGCGAGACAGGGGATACCTTCCTTTGAGTTATTGGCCAAGGTGGCACAAGAGACTCCCAGATAGTAACCCAGCATAGAACTGGGAAAATGAACAGCAGAGCCCAATCTTATCTAAAGGAATGTTGGCAACTGATTGCTGCTAAATGAGGAACAGCTGATCTTCCTAAAACAAGGATCTCTGGATAGACTGACTAGATTCAGCAGACAGACAAGCACTGGAGAATGGCTGGGGGTGTTGACAATACAGAGGACGGTAACAGGAATGACAGAGTATATGGGCTCCAGTATGTGGGAGGGGGGAGGCTATGGGAGGGTGCCATTTGGGAAGTGGGTATATAGATAAATAAGATTGTATGGGATGTTCTGTATGATACACACACAAAAATCAACAAATTTTAAAAAAAGAGATATTTGAGGAGGAAGCATAAAAATTTACTTCACGTTAAATAGTAGAGTGATAAACATTACAAGTGAAATCTACCTGATGACTTTATATCCATATTCAGGTACTAAAGATGCGAGTGTAACCTACTGTGACTAGTAATCATCAGATACATAGAGATTAAAGACACATGTGCAAACATCTAAGCATTAGTAGCATTAAAAATGTAGGAAACAGCATATTTTAAAATGAAATGGAGATCTTCTTTAAAGGGTAAAAACATTCAATTTTATATCTTACAGGGTTTATACTGAGTTCAATATTATATAACTATATTAATTCAACTGTGAACCTAAAAAATTTACAGCCACTTTTGAAAGAGATTTACCCTGCTCTGGAGTAAGTTAAATTGACACAGTTATACAATATTGAACTCAGTATAACTGTAATAATTCAACTGTAAACCTTAAAATTTATAGCCGATTTTGAAAGAGATGCATCTTAGCTTAGGAAATTGTTATTGAATATGTCAATGCTGTTGTAATGAAATGCTTCATCTAAGTATGTGGTTATTAAATAAATAATTTTTAAAAAGAAGATCTAAAATCTATCCTCAAATCAGTGCACTTCAATAAAAGCTTGAAGGAATATAAAAAAATTTAAATACATATATATCACAAAAACCTTAACCATATTTACTGTAGAAATGAGTAGGATGAGTATGATTGAAGTTAAATGGTTTGCCTCATGTCGTCACATAGCAGATAGCAGGGTCATAATTCGGGTCCAAATGGACTTTAGAGCAAAACACTGGTTGTTCTTGCAGAAGACCCGGGTTCGAATCCCAGCACCCACATGGCAGCTAACAACTGTCCGAACTCCAGTTCCAGGGGATGCAACAGCCTCTTCTGACCTCCACGGGCATTGCACGACACAGGTGAACTTACCTACATGCAGGCAGTATACACATAAAAATAATAAAAATAAATAAAAAGATTTTAAAAAAATAAAAAATAAAAATAAATTTTTATTCATGATATTAAAAACTACCAAATAAAACATACTACATGAAACTATCAAATCTACTCAGGTTGAGAACAAATTACAGCATGAGTCTTAAAGGGCTTCTGCAATGATCCATTTTCTATAAAATTAAAATTTAGCCATATATTTTATGTATTATATAAGCTAAATAAAAATAACCACTTCCAGGGCTGGAGCAATGGCTTAGGGGTAAAGAGCACTGGCTGCTCTTCCAGAAGATCCGGGTTCAATTAACAACTGGCTGTAACTCCAGTTCCAGGGGATCCGACTCTGTCTTCTGACCTCTGTGGGTACTGCATGACAAGGGTGCACTTATACACATACAGGCAATATACTCACAAACATAAAATAAAAATAATAAAATATTAAAAATACTCTTCCAAAAATGATTGTGACAAATAAAAGACATCTCCTTGCTCATTCATTAGTGAGTTGAAACTGTATACAAATATCATAATCAACATTGAAATATTTATTAATCAACCTCATAACCAAAATGATGTTTCTCCTAAGTGCTATTACAAAGAGACTGGCCTCTGCTATGGACACAGAATCACATATATAAGGTTATGTAATATAGAAAGTGATATGTTTCCCTACTTACTATTCTTAAAATCTTATATCTCTGAATAATAAGGAAAAATAAATATCTATTTTGGCCTCGAGTTATGTTACAATTATTCAAGGAGATTTGTTGTCATTGAGAAGTACTAGCAAACCATGAAAACATACCTTAATTCTTCTCTGCCCTCTGCTTTTTAAGTATAGGTGTTAGGAAGAGCTTCTGCTTTCATAACAGCAGAAAACACGGGATTGTCAGATAGACAGTGAAAACTTCTCAAACTTGCCAACTAAATTCCTGAATCAGGAGATTTTTAACTTTGTTAAACTGGGAAGCCAAATATTATTTGAGTGCTATGACAAAACTTAATATAGATAAAACAATAACTTGCCAACAGTGAATGCACAGTTCTCTAGTTACCGTTGTAAATTTTGGGGCACGTTTTCAATCAAATAAAATCTCTTGATATTGAAGCCTACCAAGTACCAAAATCAAAACCATCATGTTTCCTAGTGTTTTATGAGAAGACACTGGTTTATGCACTCATTGTTCATATTTTAATCATGATCCTCGGTAGTAATAGTGTCAAAGTGAAAAGTAATATATTTTGGGTCTTATCCTAGCATCATTTCTAGGCTCTGAAGACAAAACATGTACATATGTAGATTTTAAAATAGTCAATGACTATGGGATTTTATATTTGCGCAAAGAAGTGTCATTGTTTAGATTTACATGAAAGAATACATACTCCGATGCCATTACAATTTCTTCTAGTAAAAATCAGTATAAAGCAGGAACATGGAAGTAGAGGCAACTTCATGTTCAGCTGTGTATTTACCACTTTCAGTGAAATAACTAGACATTATCACATGGCCAGGTGGCAAAGTATCTTCTTACCTTCTAAAACTTAGAGGGAACATAATATTGTATTTTGCAACAGTTCCGTTATAACTCACCCTGTTATTGAAAACAATAGTAACTGACTTAAAAGATAAGAACCCAAGTTGCATGAGACTTTTCCATCCAAACACCTAACTTTAGAGTCATTTTAATAAGGCACTCAGAAATGAATGACTAGATCCCAAGCAATCCATCTTCGTGGCATTTTGTAATGCTAAGGAATATCTCTGCATAAATGTGGCTCCTCTCAAGGTGTTCAATTTAGTGGCTAATGAAATTCTATCTACAGTTCTGCACAGAGCTTCTTTGAACATAGTATCTATATATACTACAGGTTCCACTTAATGAAAACCTGTGTGGTTCTGAGAGTGCTAGAATACATCAAGATTTCATGTCTCTTACCTTTGCCATGGCTTCTCCCATCCTCCAGAAGCGGCACAACAATAGTGTTGTTCACATTTCCAGGTGACCGTACAGCTGTGTAGACAACAGGCACCGACTGTACCACCACGGGGATTCGATGAACATGACTCAGTTTGTTAGACTGTAAATTCATGGGGCTTGAAGGTGGGACAGGATGAATAATGTGCAAAAACTGCTGGCCTCCCACACCAGATGCAGAGGCAACAAGGGGTCCTGGAGATAATACTGTTGATGAAGATGACGCTGAAGATACTGATGTTATAACAGTTGGGGATGAGGCTGGACGACTAGAAGACGATGAAGAGGTTGACGTTGAAGAAGGTGAGGAGGCAGACGCTGTCATGGAAACTGGGGAGGATGAAACGGCGGTAGGAGAGGTCCTGGCTTTGTTGATTGACAAATCCACTGGCTCAGTTTGTGTTTGGAAGTGATCTACAGGCAACGAGTCCTCTGGGGGCTCCCCCTTCACATTATTTAGCAACAGAGGAACGGCTTCCATATCAGGGTAGTTGTGGACGTTTGGAGACTGGAGGGAGAAAAACAGAACACATTTTATCATTATTAATCGATTTCAATGGATGCCTGACATTAGTTAAAAGGTTATTAATTTTTCTTTTATTGCTGTGGGACATTAGTTCATTTGCTCAACTATTTGAAGAATTGTTCATTAATAGATACAGTGATTAAAGCTAAAAGTGCAAAAGTACAACAAAGATCAAGAGAGCCCTTTATTATAAGGGCATTCCCATTCCACTGGACCAAGCAGAAACAGAACTATGTAAATGAAATTCAGTGTTTCACAAGAGGCCGCAAGAATTAAAAATGAGCAGTGAATTTATATAAAATCTTCCAAAAGACACGTTTCTAACATAAAGCATTATTTACTTAGAATTGTGTAAATGCAACTTACTGAATTGAAACTCACTTTGTTGATTTGAGTCATTACTGAATTAGGAATCTCAGTTTCTTGTTATGAAGGGATACAAGCTTTCATTAGATAAACTGAATATCCTTTCTAGCACTACACAGTGCTAGAGTTCCACTGTGTAATGAATGACTCTACTCATGTTCAACACGATCATGATCTGGAGACAAAACATCACCCAAAAACAGTCGTGGGAAAACTATGGTATTTCTAAGTTCGTATTTGGCACAAGAGCATGAAGAAACACACAAAGTTCTCCAACCTCCTAGGTCTGGTCCTAACGCTATTTAATTTAGGTCACTTGCAATGGTTGAAGTATAATCTCAACTGCATGGAACAACTACTACACTGACACTTGAAGAAACAGTTTTCAGAAAATCCTACGTAAGGAAAATCAGGGCGCTGGAGAAATGGTTCTGCATCTAAGGGTACTTGCTGTTCTTCCAGAGGACTTGAGCTCAGTTCTGAGCACCTACGTCAGGCACCTCACAACCACCTGTGACTTCAGCTCTATGGGATGTGACACCCTTTTTTGGCCTCTGTGGTTACCTGCACACATGTGGCATATACTCACATACATACATATAAATAAAAATAATTTTAAAGATCTTAAATTTAAAAACTGTCTAAGATTTTAATTAAAAAACTAAAACTTTAGAAAAGAAACACTCTAGTATTTAACACAATTTGATAGTTTCAGCATACCAAGCACAGCACTATTGGGCATAAATATACATTATTAACTCCAAGCTGAACAAGCATTTATGGAATTCTGAGACCCAAATGGCCCATGTTCAATTGATATGTGTCAGTCCAGTCTTAACAGAAAGAACCAAACAATTGCAGGTTATTTTGGCTACATCTAATTTAACCAGTTTAACATTGACAAAAAAATTATTCTATTAGATGACCCCCCCAAAAAAAAACCGTTTATTTTCAGATTTCTTATCAGATTAGAAAAACAATTATGTTAAGTTGGTCATTTCATTATTTATCCTATAAAAGAGTTTGGTTTGCTATTCTCCCTAAAAACATGAAAATGCATTTAAAGGTTAAAGAAAACCCAGACATGGTTCTTAAAGTCTTTACAGAATATAAACTATGCTTTAGTCACAACATACAATAGACAATAATAGAGGGCATTTTATTCAGCAACAATAAAAAAGAAAGAAAATAAATCAACAATGGCACCAGATCAAATGAAAAGGAAAATGCATTGATGTTGTAATGTTCTTTTTAAAATTTTCTCTCTTCTTGGCTAAAATAGTTACTACAAAAGCATATGAATTAGAGACATAAAAACTGAGCCATCTTAAATACTCCCTGTATGAAATTCTAAATAGGATTCTCACTTTAGGTGCTAAAACAGAAACAACTTTATAAATCTTTCCAAAGATGTTAAGAAACAAAAAGAAAAAAAAAATCCACAAACCCAAACACGGTAAGTTGAACTACTTTTATAAAATCTGTAGGTATTAACTATTCTTCCAATTAGAACAGTATTTTAGTTAGTTCTTAGCATTATCATTTGGTTTTTGTGGAATAACGCACATTGCTTCTTATTAGCATTACATATAATTATATGTTAAAATATATATGTACAGCCGGGCATGGTGGCCTTTAATCCCAGCACTCCAGAGACAGAGGCAGGCAGATCTCTGTGAGTTGAAGGCCAGCCTGGTCTACATAGTGAGTTCCAGGACAGCTGGCACTACAGGGAGACCCTGTCTCAAAAAGACCAAAAAAATTGATGATACTGCTTTCATAACAGGTACCAAATGGCTCAAAATTTAAAATACAACATTAAACATATTATCAAACAGTACTGATTTGATTGACTTCATATACCCTTGAATCGTTACTCTTTTTACTGTTTTAGACAAACCTGAGACTCTTATACTGGAAACAGTGATTTTTTTTCTACTTACATCCTTTACAGAGAAAGGGCTGCAGACTACTTCATCCCTGTAGACAACTCTTAATGGAAATGAAATAGTAACTGGCAGGAGATGTTAACATGGGATCTGGAACATATGGAGCTTATGTGGAGAGGCTTCTGAGGCATCAGGCATCACTGAATTTTACAAGGAGCTCCAACTTTTGCGTATTATAAACAAGAGCCCACCTTTGCAACACTCTACTTAATGTCCCACTGTGGAACATAGCTCCTCCTTAAACTATGGTAGAATAACAGATGAAGACTTCCTCTCACAATTCTATCACACAGGCTAGAAAGCTATGAAGACCAAACACAGAGAATCCTAGGTCCTCCCAAATGCCTGAGAGCTATGTAGCTTTCTCATGCACAGAAACTGAAATAACTAGGAAGAATAAACCAAGCCTTTGGATCAAACACTAGTGACCTGGGAAAATTAGGGATGAATTTATACATGCAAACATCACAGAGGCACACAGAGGCTCCTTCCTTATATGTGGCAGCGGAAATGAAGGCAGCACAGTAAACGATTATGCTCTATCAATTATTAAGAGAAAAAAGTCCTTATTGTACCCTTTATCTGCTTTCAGTGTTGACATGACATCATACCCTGAAAGCCTCTACCAGTTTCTTAGGCTACATGATAATGTGCTGGGGGAAGTGCCCATTTGCCCATCTTTGAGATGCACAGACACAATTGTACAGTCAACAAGACTGCAAAGACACGTCGTCAAAATACCTATGCACACTGCCCTTCTTCCTTGTAAGAAAGGGGAAAAGCACAATTCTGAAATCATCATTGGGAATTAATTTCTTGCTTTTCTGAAGTTGAAAACTGAGATGCACTCATTCTCAGGCCTGGATTCCTGAAAGGGAAGCTGGAATGAGGGGCTGGGGGCACAGCAGATAGGCAGAAGGGAACCAAAGCTCGGGAAATCAGAGGAATCTCAGTGCAAAGGAAGATGGAAAGTGAGGGAAAGACACAAATCTTGGAGAATGGGACAGGGCCTGGGCCTCAAAGGAAGAGACAGCAAAAAACCCTGGAGAGTAAGCTTAAGTATAAAATTTAATTTAAAAATTAAAAGTAATAATGGGGCTGGAGAGATGGCTCAGCAGTTAAGAGCACTGACTGCTCTTGAAGAGGACCTGGGTTCAATTCCAAGAAGCCACATGGTGGCTATGAAGCCTTGGGCATTGGACAACATGGGCAATGCAAGCAATACACTCGTACACATAAAATAAAAAAATAATAAATAAAATATTTAAAAAATTAAAAGTAATAAAATAAACAGACTAGACATAAAGAAGTAAACTTTATACATAATGAGGAAGAAATGCTTCTGTAAAAAGAAGCAAGAAAAGATCAATAGAAATATTTTACCTGGATCAGTAACTTCTCCAGTTTTGACACATCAAAGAGCAATTCATGACAGTAACTACTTTGTGCTTGCTTTCTACTAAAAATGCACACAGATTTTCCTGTTATATAAACTGAATTTCTGCTGGTGATTGTCCTACTATGGAAGATGAAATTATTACTACAGGCCCTCCATCAAATGAAAAACAGAACTCCTTCTAAAGGGACAGATTGTATGAGAGCACTAGATTTTTGTCAGAGGAAATAATTTCATTTTCCAAAAGATTACATAACACCCCTTAGAAGGGTTGAGAGTAAAGCTTCATTTTTTATAATGTTTTAGAAGTACGGTATTAGAAACATACACGAAAGTCCAGTGAGATAAATATAACAATATACTTCACAAAAAAGTATCTAAAAACCTAAACACAAGCAGGATTGTGCATAATGTGGTGCTACTTTCTCAAGTCGGAGAGTCAGTTTTACTTAGAATAATCCATTCAATAAAATATTACTTCAAACCTGACTTGATAGGCCTTAATGTATATGACTCAAGGTGTGAAATCTGGTTGCAGGGCTGTGGGGCAGGTGCAGACAGGGGAGGGGGTCTAAGGGTGTATTGTATGAAATGCACAAAAAGTCAATTAAAAGACACTGTTAAAAATATTATCCATAATATTGTGAACTTGTACTTTTAAGTGTCTGAGTGACCTCAGTTGAACTTTCCTAATCAGATAGCCTTTCTTTCTAAGTAAACATTTAAAATGGAACTTTAGCTTTAGGCATTTTTTGAATGAATCCAAAACCTCCCACATGTTCTTTCCCAGAGAGTCCTAGATGTGTTTCCCACAGTCGGCTGTTACCAACAGCTGAATCTTATTATGGTCTGCCAGGGAATAGAAAGCATTTTTAATGGTGGTCATGTATTTTAATTACCTGCAACTCTTAAAAAAAAAGTGTGGCCACTACTCTCTCTTTGGAAATGCCTCTTGAGGCTCTTAAGTGTCTTCTGGTTGAAGAACACTTGAATAACAGGCCATGAAATGTTGTCCAAGATTTATGTAGTGCCTGGTATATCTTTACTGGGATCAGGAGTTTTTGAGATGTAGTCCTTATACACACGTATTTTGGTGACAATTATCAATTCATCATTTAAATAAATTCAGTTTTATTTTGCTTCTACACAATTTTTGCAAGATAATTTCAAGGCATATTTAGGAACTATAAAGTGGTTCACCTAACATTATATACCTTACCTATGATAAGACTCTTCTGTAGGCTGTTTTATGATATTATAAAAAGAAAATG